AAAAAAAACCCCCGTCAATTTGGGTGCATGTTCTTAAGGAATGTATTGTAATAATGACAAAACAAATTATGTTCTCTCTGCTTACAGTTGCGCTCTTGTGCTAAGAGGGACGGGCCTGATGCTATTGCCACACCAGGAAACTGCACTGACGCCTGGGCCTACTCCAATGTCACAAGATCGAAGACAATGGAGTGGTTGGACTGCAGCATGTTTAATGGTGCCACCACTGAGACAAACAGCTGTAACACTTTCTTGAGTATGTAACTGACACAGTTTTGCAATAAGTACTTTTTTTTTTATTGTTATTCGTGGGTGGTAGGCACGTGCTCTGGTGTGGTTTGCTACTTCTTTCCCATAAAAAATCTACAGATCTCTCCTCCTTCTTTTTTGTGTTTGTTACTCTCTTGTACACAAACACCTCTAATCTTCGGCACTTATATGACCTTGTAGTGTTGCAAGTGCCGTAAAAACTATTACTAAAACTAAATAAACTGATAGATATACTAAAATGTTTTGATGACTTCGAAGTTTCTAGGCAGCAGCATCTTATCAAAGATGTTCATTTTTTAAAGTTCGTGAGCCGCATACTCAAGACGAGCAAGTTGCATATAATACTGCTGAAATCTTAACACGTTATGCTGAATCCTTGGAATTATGAAAGCATTTTGAATAATAATATACCTCTCTTTAAAATTGTAATTTTTCTTTAAAGGAGTGAAGTGGGTAAAGGGTAAAAAAGTGATAAATACACTTTACAGATTATCAGCAGGGTATGTCATCTTTCTGACGGTGAATATTATTCATTTTATTTTCATTTTAAAACAAAACTTCCGGCAGAATTACTATATATCCTTCCCTTTGGTCTCTCGTCCCAATTTCGTTTCAGTTACTCTTTTGTTTATCTTTTTTTATCTATTACAATCTCATAGGCTAGTTATTTGCCTCCCAAATAACCATATTATGTCTCATGAGAGACGAGTAAGAAGCAGAAAAAGCTGGGCACAACAAAACCAAAATGAGCAAGAAAAAACTAAACTGAACATAACAAAACCAGACTGAACATAACAAAAGCAAACCGTTCTTTCAGATACTCTGGGATCATTGACTCCAGGAAGTGTGAACCATTCAGATGCGTGCTTGAGGATACAACCCAAGTTTACATCGCAGGACCATACTTTCAGCCTTCAGAACTGCACCAGCTCATGGGTGAATAAAACTGTCGAATACACAGCCATGACAGATGAAATGAGCTGTACGAGGTGGGCCAAACATGTGGAACAGAAGACATGCAACAAAGAATGTGAGTAACGCACAGGGCTTCCGATCTTTAGACCTTCTTCAAGTTGAATAATTTAGGAAAAAGAAAGAGAAGCACATAAGCACGATGGTGGTCATTTAATGCAAGGGAAAAGCGACATGGAATGAAAAGAAACAGGTTTTACTACTAGTGGCGTCCTCCAGATACATGAATGGGGGGTCATGAGTTAGACAATCTGCAAAGCGAGGCGAATTCATGTAAGATGGGGGGATAGACTAAAACCTTGACTTAGCAGTGTTTATACTTACTTACTTGTCTTACTTGTCCACTGTGTGGGGGTCACTGCAGTCAGAACATGTCCATCCGGCATACTGCTTTTCTCTGAAGTACACGTTTCTACTCAAACTGTTGTAGTTACTTTTCATGAACGTAGAGGCTAAAACAGCACCTGGACGTCGATAGCTAGCGCCTCAATAAATAAATTAGTGACGTTGATGATGATGAGGGTCATTAACGTAGAAGTGCTTAGTATTTTTTTCCTTACCGTTTTTTAACGCTCCCATCACCACAAATTAGACATTTATAAGGCACACAAATGCACGCATCTATCTAGGCCCACTCCCGTAACCAATATGAGTTGCTTATTTGACTCCCTGATTCTTGTCCCAGCTTAATGAAAAGTTGCATCTGCTTTCTTTATTTTCAGGTGAATTTTTATTCAAGGGACTGTACCCAACTTTAAACGACAAAGAAATCGGTGGTATCCTGCTTGTGATCTCCCTTGTCATCCTGAGCGTCTGCTTGGTGTGTATGGTGAAACTCCTCCACTCTCTACTCCGAGGACCTATGGCTGTGATCATCAAGAAGTTCGTCAATGCCGACTTCCCGGGACCTCTAGGCTATTTAACCGGCTATCTTGCTATTCTCATTGGCGCTGGGCTGACCATTGTGGTGCAGAGTTCCTCTATCTTCACATCGACCTTAACCCCTCTGGTGGGCATCGGGGTCATTGAGCTGGATCGTATGTATCCGTTGACCCTTGGCTCAAACATCGGGACGACGACCACAGCCGTCTTGTCTGCTCTAGCGAACTCCGGGGATAAACTATTAGACTCTCTGCAAGTCGCCTTCTGCCATTTGTTCTTTAACATCACAGGAATCCTTCTCTTCTATCCTCTTCCATTTATGAGGTTCCCCATTCCTCTCGCTAAATTTTTGGGTAATCGCACTGCCAACTACCGTTGGTACGCTATCGTGTATATCTTTGTCATGTTCTTTATCTTCCCTGGTGCAGTGTTTGCTCTGTCTCTTCCTGGCTGGTATGTGTTGGCGGGGGTTATGGGCCCCATCTTTCTCTTGTTCATTATTGTGGCTATCATTAAAGTCATCCAAGCTAAAGCACCCCAAATCTTGCCCACAAAACTTCAGAATTGGAAGTTCCTGCCGAAAGCTCTCCGTTCCCTTGAACCTTATGACCGGGTCATGATGAAAATTTTCTTTTGCAAACGGTTCCAAATGCAAAAACAGCAGCCCAATTCTCCGATGAGCCCATCCTACGTGAAAAACACGCGGTTTTAGTTCTTGGGGTTTTAGTTCTTGGGTTGAATTTACTGCTTTTCACGCCTACATGTGTTTGTATGTATGTGCATGTGCCTGTTTGTGTTTTCTGTGTGTGGAAGAGGAAAAGGTCATAATTGGTTCGGATGGGGAGAGGGTGTTGTCCGATAAAAGATATGAGCACTGCCAGGTCGGGATGGTGTGGGCGAAGAAGTCTTTAAAATTATTTTTTTACTACGAGAGTTTTTTTTAAGGAAATACATTTTTTTATTATAATAATATGGTGCTCCGTTTGGTATTTTGACTTTTCACGTATTCACTCGTGTAACTGATTTAGGAAGGGGAAAGACAGTAAGGAAAGGGGGAGGGGGGGGGGGTCATGAGTTAGACAATCTGCAAAGCGAGGCAAATTCATCCAAGATGGGGGATAGACTAAACTCTTGACTTACCAGTGTTTATACTCGCTCAGGTAGCTGTAAACCCAGCTTCCTAAAAGAGTTGCCGGTCAGTCCTATCACTTTTAATTGATAGATCGGAAAAATACAAAGAATATGTGTAATAAAATGACCCACTCCCTTGGAAATCTTTGAGCATTATGATGGTATTATAGCCGTTGCCATTGGTGGTTCGTGTCTGAAATAAACGTTGGTTTTTTCATCGTTTTATCCGACTCGCTATACTCGTATACACAGCACGACGCTCTCTTTAAAATGCTACACAATTCGTAATTATTCAGCTTCCACCACTGAAGGTAAAGTCTATGCGGACTTGCTTTATATCAGAAGTACTAAAACATTTTGATATTTCGAACATGAGACACAGCACCTTTTTTCGTAAAACGTTAATAGAAGCTTATCTTAAAGATGAGAAGGTTTTCAAAATATGAATTTTTTTTAAAACCCTGCTGTCGTTATCTGTCATAGTTCAGAAACTGATCTTCCTCACATTATTATCTTGGGCTGGTTCCCCAAGGTGAAGCGATTCGGTCCAGCTTTGAAGGCCTGAGGTTTTTAATACGAAAATGTTTGTCTCTGCTATTATTCCAACAAATGATCTTCTTTCATGCCCGGACACCAAACCATGCCGCTCCTACAGAAATTACCTCATGTGTCAAGTACATGTATGTCATTGCACTTGAGCACAATAATTAAGAGCAATCATTTTGATACGTCTATCGTACTTGTTTAATAGCATTCTCTCTCATTTATAAGGAGAGATTTTACTTGTTTAAATTGATAAGTGTATAGGCATTTTGTATTTAGAGAAAGAGAGAGAGAGAAAGAAAGAAAGAGAGAGAGAGAGAGAGAGAGAGAGAGAGAGAGAGAGAGAGAGACAGAGACAGAGACAGAGACAGACAGACAGACAGAACGAGGGTGAACGTGTGTGTGTGTTT